GTGTTGCGGCTTAACACCGGTATCACCGTCAGCACCGTCTATCGCTGCAAGCCTAGTGGAGAGACTACAGCATATGGAATATTTGTACTTATAAAAATGTTTTTGTGACAATGCAGCACCACTGAAGTGAAAAATGGGTTCAAATGCTTTACAATATTCAACACATCATTATATTCTCTAAATCTGATGAAATTAATATGCTTTCACCTGTGAAAATGTCTATAGCTTCTCCTCTAGGCACCTTCTTCACCACCAGATACGCTGAGCTGGGATTGGCCATTTTACACCACTGTAGCGCTTGTTCCAGAACCTTCTCTTTAGGGTGAAGAGGTCGCTCTGTGGAAATTACATGCTGCATTTATCTATTGTTTCTCCCGGCCTTAAAAAACATTGTTTGCCCTGCAGTGTCTGAGTAACTTCAGTAGTAACTGAAGTGAAATTGTGTTTGAATTAATTCGTTTGCGTTTTGTCTTTACCAAGCTCTCCTTCCTCGATGGCCTCAAAGGTCATCCACACGTCTTTTTCCCCTGCAGGAATATTTCTCATATACAGCACCTGATTGGTCAGCTCCTCAGCACACATTGTGGGAGACACCTGTGAGAAAGCCACACCAGAAGTTTGCATTAATGGTCTGAATCTGCCACCGTGTGGTAATGCTGTGCAACAGCAGCTCTCCGTCAAACATAAAAACGTGAAATACAGTTGGAGTTGTGTTTTTTTTTTCCACAATATTATTTCATGTATGTTAGCTTTGAGGCCATCTAAATGCTTGTGTACTAAAGGTTGACAAAAACATTAAGCAGATATACACACTTAAAATATATTGCTTTCCCCTTCCAGGACAACGGACAACAATATTGTTGACATCATATATATCTCATTATTATCATTTTTAAATATGATCTACTTACTTTCAGAGTGACGCAGCAGTCTGGTATCTTTTCTTCTAGATAAACTTCAATAATCAAGTCCCCTGCCTGTGAGAGCTGCAATAAACACAAAAAAAATATTAAAATATAATTTAAAATATAATACTATTAATTAATTAATCTACCTGTGTGTCTCTCCAAGTGGTTATCAAACTGATTTCCAGTTCAATCTGAGTTTGATGTTCTTCATCAATCTGA